CTGGGTGGATGACCAAGCGGCTCTGTGGTGCTTAGTTGCAGGCTGGGCTTAAACCACGACAGTCCTTTTTGGTGCCCAACGTGGGGCTCGAAGGGTTTGAGATAATGACAGATTTCATTGGAATGTGCTAGACTGAATTTATAGCTGTTACTGCTGTTTAGCTATTGATTGGCAGGCTCCTGTGCTTGCCATGGGGCTTGCTTGCCCTACCGTATGTTAGTCTAGTGCTCGTTGGTGGCTGCTTTTTGCTTTTGTTGCTTGCTGTACTGCTTATTGTCTTACTCTGCTGTGCCTGGGAACATTTTGATAACAGCAATGGCGATGCGTCTGGGTTGGCAGATGGCCAGGGCATCGCTGCTGTTTCTATGCTGCTGTACTGGACAGGATGGAACTCTAGTGTGAACTCGAGTCAAAGGGACTGTGGATAAGTCCACACAGGAGCAGGTATATCTCAAAGCCTCTGTGGCTGCGATTATGTCTGTGCCACAGCAGGTATATGAAGGGATTGTGGCCCAAGGATAAGTATACCTCGAAGCATCTGTGGCTGTGGATAAGTCCATGCTGCAGCAGGTTCATCTTGAAGCATCAGTGGCTGTGCATGAGGTCATGCTGCAGCATCTCAAAGTGTTTGGCCATGGATAAGCCCACAACAGAGCAGATACACCCCTGGAGAGACTGCAGCCATGGATAAGGCCATGTTGGAGCAGGTTCACTCCTGAAGGGGCTGTGGCTGTGGGTAAGGCCACACTGGAGCAGATATATCTCTGAAGGCATTGTGGCCCACTGATAAGGCCATGCTAGAACAGGTGCACCTCAAAGCGACTGTGGCTGTGGATAAGTCTGTGCTACAGCACGTATACCCCTGAAAAGACTGGCTCATAGATAAGGCTCCAGTTGGAGCAGGTACAACCCTAAGGGACTGCAATCTGTGGATAAGCCCAAGCTGGAGCAGGGGCAAGGGGAGGAGTTCATTGCGATGTTAAACCCTATGGTCTGGTCCAAAGGGACCAGGGGTGGAGATTGTAATGGAAATACTTTTAAATTGTTGTAACCCTGGATTTGAGTTGCATGTTATGGGAATTACTATAGCAGGAACCACCCAAACCAATGGAGAACAAGCCTTACAAGAAACAGTGCAAGTGTAGCAGTGACCTGACCTGAGCTGGCTTTGGTGCCCAATAACTTCACGCAACACACTACCTCTCCTGTCCTGAGTGACCACCACAAGAGATGGAACCCAAAGTCATGGACTAAATGAACTCTGTGAACATTTTATGGACATTTTACAAGGGTGGTCCATAGACCACAAGTGGTAGAGTACATGAGCTGCTTCCCAATTAAAGTTTATTACAAGGGAATCAGTTCTCAGATGTAATAAAACCTTTGGATCACCTGTATTCCCAATATGCACAAATTTCTGCAGCCATTACAATAGCCAATTTCTGTGCAGAAGTCTGCCCCCCCGAGGTTTCAGAACACAGTACAAGGGGACATAGGTGATTCTCTTTTTGACAGGTAACAATGAGATCATCTAGACCAGCAGTCTCCAAACTTTTTTGATCATGCACCCCATCAGTCAAAAATTTTTGAGCATGCACCTGAATATATATATTTATTTATAAATTATACACATGTACTACTGTACTAAATATGCACAAAAATAGAAATTTAAAAGGATGAGATAAAGATGAAATAAACACTATATTAAAATATTTTTTATTTTATTTATTAACAGTACAAGAATATTTTCTTCCCACACCACAATGGATTGTCTTGCACACCCACTTTGGAGACCACTGATCTAGACTGTATTTGTGTTGTCCTTAGAAATCTAGCCAGAGACTGAACAAAAGTCCAGCATATTCCCTGATCCATCCTTTCTGCTTCCTATCACTTCCATACCATTCTGTGGTATATAACTTCTAAGACAACTAAGAGTTCAGCAAATTCACCTGCCTAAATGACCGTGGTCTTCAGACTGCCAAGACTCCACCCACTAGATCAAATACACACAAGGGGAAGAAAAAAAATATTTTGTACCCAACATCCTTTTATATCTCTGTGTTTATAACACTGGTGAGAGATGTCATGCTATGTGATAAAAAACCCATCTGCACACCCACAAAGGAGAACAGAGAGACAATAGCAGGTGGAGGAACCCAAATAATATCCTGCTCTGGCTTCTCCCAGGCACATCACAGGAGAGCTATCAGCCCATCAAAGATCCATCTCCACAAGCCCAGAAGAGGCACAAAGGCAGGTGAGCAACCCAAATTAGGGACTCAAAACCAAACACCCTGTCTGGGCCCCTCCCAGGACTCTCCCAGGAGAGCCTCAGCCCCAATATCCAGATGAGATATCCATCAAGATGAGTACAGCTAACAGAGACCTCCAACAGATGCAACAGTTTGCACAGCAGTCTCTGGGTTCTGCTTTGGGAGCTTCTGAGGACAGGGTCCAGGATCATCGGGGAACTCCTGGGAACCCTCTGAGAACTTGAAGTCCCCTGCTGCTGCCAAACAAGGACAAGGTAAGCGGAGCCACAAGGGGACTTCAACTTACCAGATATCTGCTGGGAGGAAACAGTCCAGGTTCCTGGATTGTGTTGGGCATAACTTCCTGACACAGCTGGTGAGGGAGCCAACTAGGGAAGGTGCCCTGCTGGACCTGTTGTTTGTGAACAGAGAAGGACTCGTGGGGGATGTGACAGCTGGAGGCTGTCTTGGGCATAGCGATCATGAAATGATAAGTGTTTTCAATTCTTGGAGAAGCAAGGAGGAGGGTCAGCAGAACTGCCACCTTGGACTTCCGGAGGGCGAACTTTGGTCTTTTCAGGAGCCTGATTCACAAAGTCCCTTGGGAGGCAGTCCTGAAGGGCAAAGGAGTCCAGGAAGGCTGGACTTTTTCAGGAAGGAAATCTTAAAGGAGCAGGAGCAGGTTGTCTCCATGTGCCAAAAA